ATTCAACTTGATTTCATTTCGGATGGCTGACAAATTCGAAGAAGGTACTAATTCACAAATAAATGGAGATCAAACAAATGGAGGTCGTCGTGAAGCTGATGAAGGAGATCCACTTCAATTTGGTAACTCTGATCACCTTGGCATGTCACTTGTTACTGTGCCTCTTACTAGGAAGAACTTTCTAGCTTGGAGTAGATCAATTAGAATTGTACTTGGTGCTAAAATGAAGCTAGGGTTTATTGATGGAACTATTGAAACTCCAGCTAAGAATTCACCTCAATTTGTAAAATGGAATAGAGTCAATTACATGATAACTTCGTGGATCTTAAACTCTATTTCAAAAGACATTGTTGATGCTTTTTTGTACACTACTTCTGCTAAAAGCTCTGGAGTGAATTAGAAGAGATATTCGATGGTTGTAATGGTCCACGATTGTACCAGATACAAAGGGAAATTTGCTCGATAACACAAGGTAATCAATCAATATCTCAATACTATACAAAATTGAAAGGTCTGTGGGATGAATTAACATATCTTATGCCATTACTTGAATGCACCTATGGCTCAGCAAAAGTAGTGTCAGATATAACTTCATTTAATATGTTGATGCAATTTCTCATGGGACTAAATGAAGAATATGAACAAGTTCGATGCCAAATTCTAGTTATAGAGCCCTTACCTACTGTTAACAAGGCTTGTGCTAGGATCCAAAGGATTGAGAGACAGAAAGAGGTACGCATAGCCTTTGGTAATGAAACTGAAATGAGTGCAATGTTTTCTAAGACAAATAATCTGAAGAAGGATCAGGGAGGCAGACCTATGGGAGGAAAGAGTTATGAAATGATAAAGAGGGAAAAACAATTACTATATTGTACTCATTGCAAGGTAAATGGTCACAACAAGGATGGATGCTTCAAACTTGTAGGATATCCAAATTGGTTCAAGCAATTAAGGAATCAAAATAGATCTGGAACTATGAAGCATTCAGCAAACATGGCTAATACACCGTTTGGTACTAATCAGGAAGTGACGGATAAGTTGCAGAATTTTAATCTGTCTGAGATAATACAACAGGAATTGGTAAAAATGATGAAAGGAAGCACTGGAGGTGACATGATTAACTTTGCTCATTTTGGTGATTTTGCAGGTTCTGTACTCATACCCGAAGTCATTCTCACTTTCAATGCTTCAAACTTGTTAGAAGTAGGCTCTTAGATATTAGACAAAGAGGCATCTAATCATATGTGCAACAACTTAAATTATTTACGGAACCCAAACAATGCATTTCAACCATTCCTGTATGTCTTCCTGATGCATCCATTAATTTTGTTTAGAACACTGAAGACATCCTAATTCATCCTGCCATTACCTTGAAAGATGTTTTGCATATCCCTACCTTCAAATTTAATTTGTTGTCCGTCAACAAGTTAAAAAAAATTCAAAGATGAAGCTCACATTTTTTTATGACTATTGCCTTTTACAGGACCATCAGACTGAAGAAATCAAGGAAGTTGGTAGACTAATCAGAAATCTCTATATTCTAGACCAAACTTCTTTTTCTCCATCAACTCTAAATAAATTCAGAACTTCATAGTGCAATTCTATTCTTCCTCAGTGTAATATTTTTCCTGTGTTGTCAAATGTTGTTATTGATAGATCTTTGAATCTATGGCACAAGAGATTTGGACGCGTTTTTCCTAAGGCTATGAAACATTTAGAAATTTTGAATATTTGTGATGATGATTGTCTTCCACATTGTGATATTTGTGCCATTTCCAAACAATCTAGATAACCCTTTACAACAAGTACAATACAGACCAAATTAGTAGGGAAATTGATTCATATTAATCTATGGGGACCTTATAAACAAGCATCTGTATCAAGGGCACATTATTTTTTAACCATTGTTGATGATCTATGTAGAGCCACTTGGACATTTCTCCTCAAACATAAGACTCAAGTTCTACAAACCTTTAAAGCCTTCCATCAATTTCTTAGAACTCGGTTCAACAAAGATATCAAGTCTGTAAGATCTGACAATGACGCTGAATTTGTCAGCTCTGACTTTCAAAAATTTCTTGTTGACAATGGTATAATGCATCAAAAAACTTGTGTTTACACACCTCAACAAATTGATGTTGTTGAGAGGAAGCATAGACACCTATTGCAAGTTGCGAGATCTCTTATATTTCAAGCAAACTTGCCTAAATTCTTTTGGGGAGAGTCTATTTTGATGGCTACATATATTATTAATCGTTTACCTACTCAGATTCTTGATTGGAAAACATCATTTCAGATCCTCCATAACAAAAAGCCTTCATATCAGAACCTTAAAAGTGTTTGGGTGCCTATGCTATGCTACTAATACTCAACCTTTCAAGGATAAATTCTCCTTTAGATGTTTTAAGTGTATTATGATAGGTTATAGTCATGGTACAAAAGGATTCAAAGTCTATGATCTTGAGAAAGGGCAGATATATGTCTCAAGAGATGTTGTCTTTCATGAGAATATATTTCCCTACAAAGGTAACTCTATGCCTGACCAAAATCTACCACTCCGCATTCCAATATTTGATCAAAACCAGTTAGAACCCATTCCTGCTAAAGCTTCTAACCTTCCTGCTAATCTGCCTCCTGCCACAGGTAATCTCAGTGATGGTTCTTCCACTACTAGAGAAACATTACCTCCCGATAATTCTAGTTAAAATCAACCTTACATCAGGAAGAGCACCAGACCAAAAATTCCACCTATATGGATGCAAGATTTTGTGTCCAATCTTAACCACACTCATCACATTCCCATCCCTTATTCCTAACCTTCTGATTCTAGTTCTTCATCCTTCACCCCTAACACTTTTCCATACTATACTTCACTTAGTTTTAACACTGCATATATTGATTATTTGGCTAACATCACCACCATCCTAGAGCCAACTTCATACATGGGTGCAAGTACAATGAAAGAATGGTCAGAAGCTATGAAGGTAGAACTTGATGCTTTGGAGAAAAATGATGCTTGGAGTTAACCTCCTTGTCATCTGGTAAGAAACCAACAGGATGCAAGTGGATTTTTAAAGCAAAATTAAAGGCTGATGGCACCTCGGATAGATGTAAAGCGAGGTTAGTTACAAAGGGTTTTAATAAGTTCCTAGTATTGATTTTTTTGAAAGTTTTTCCCCAGTAGCCAAACCAGTGACTATCATATTATTCATTGCTATTGCCACTGCAAAACTTTGGCCTATTTTTCAACTTGATATTACCAATGCATTTTTTTATGGTGTGTTGGATGAAGAGATGTATATGTAGCCACCTCAAGGATATGATCAGGCTATTGAAGGACAGGTTTGTAAGCTCAAAAAATCCCTTTATGGTCTGAAGCAAGCAAGCCGATAATGGAACTCTAAATTATGTAAACATCTCATTGCATTTGGTTTTCAACAGTCCCAACATGGTCATTGTCTATTTATTATGCACACTTCTTCTTCCTTCATTGCACTATTGGTATATGTCGATGATTTGCTTCTTACTGGTAGTGATGAGTTAGAGATTAATCGGTTTAAGGCCTCTTTGCACAAGGTTTTCACCATCAAGGATTTGAATTATGCTAAGTATTTTCTTGGCATTGAAATTGCGAGATCCACAGACAGCAAATACTTAAATCAGAGGAAGTTTGCCCTTGATCTTATCACTGATGATGGTCTCTTGGGTGCTAAGAGCACTCCTACACCATTACCTAAGGGCCAAAAGTTTTTCGCTTCTGACCAGGAACCTCATTCAGATTTTGAGCAATTTAGAAGACTTATTGGCTGCCTCCTTTATCTTATACTTACCAGACCAGATATTACTTTTGGTGTTCAACAACTAAGTCAGTTTGTGCAGAGTCCCTCAATCGCTCATTTGAATTCAGTATTGCATATTTTACGTTATATTAAAGGTACTCTGTCAAAGGGATTATTCTTTCCTGTCACTAATACATTTGTTCTGGAAGCATTCAGTGACGCGGATTGGGCGACTTATCCTGACATTCGCCGTTCCTTAACTGGTTACTGCATCTTTTTTAGAGGTGCATTAGTATCTTGGAAAGCAAAGAAATAGACCACAGTTTCCAGAAGTTCGGCCGAGGCAGAATATAGGAGTTTGGGAACTACGGTTTGCGAATTACAGTGGATTCATTATATTTTATAAGATTTTCGCATTTCAGTTTCTCTTCCAATTCCCCTTTGGTGCGACAATCAGGCAGCCCTTCACATTTGTGCTAATCCTCTTTTTCATGAGCGGACTAAACATCTTGATATAGATTGTTACATTGTTTGCAATCAGTTCAAGCTAGGTTTTGCTCTTCCCTGTCATGTTTCTACTAATGACCAGATTGCTGATATTTTCACCAAGTCCCTACCTGCTCCATAGTTTCGATTCTTACTATCCAAGTTGGGCTTGATGGACTTCCATCAATGTCCCACTTGAGGGGGATATAGAATTCAGCACTCAATGTTCACATTTTATATTCCTCAGGACCTCATATGCAATTATTCTATATGTCCTTTCTTGTATCTGTTTGATAGTTTGTTACTTAGATAGGAAATAACTTTCATTCGTCTGTTATGTTTGTTTTCAGCCAGTGCATTTATACCGGGATTGCTCTGCATTTCAGTTCGAGTTTTAATAAAATAAAAGTTTCAATCCTTCGATTCTCGATTTCTTCAGTTTAAACATATATGAAAAGGCTGAAAATCTAAATTTGAAATTCGCCTTTGAAAAGTTTTTCTTCGATTCTTCCTTTTTAAATAATGTAGATAGATTAATAATGCTTCAAATACTGTCTAATTATGAGATCACGATTAACTCAAGTGGTAAGAGTAAAGTATTATCAAAATCAATAAGCTAAAGTTTATATATTTTTCTTATCATAATCACTTATTTTTTGATGAAATAACGAAATGGATCATATACATGCCCTTGGAATCGCGGGCTAGTTCCTTATTGTGAATACTTTTCACCGGCTATTGTGTATGCTTAAGGATGGAACCAAGAGTTTGTACAATTTCTTTCACGGTCAGTCCGGAGTCTTTCTCTAGCTGCAGAATAACGGGTTCAATATAAATCAATCAATGATCTGTAGAAATATTATAGTGCCAAAATCATCTTAAAGATTAATTACCTTTGCGGTAATGGAAATATCAAGGGCAAAATTTCCGAATGGAGTGACATTAGTATTGTCTAGAGTGAGATTGAGCCTCTCTATTTCATCTAATATTCTCTGCAGGTAACCTTTGTGCTTCTTAATGCTGATCCTCAGATGAATGAGGTTGTTGCACGCTCTAGCTTCTATTTCTGGCAGTATCTTTTCGTCGAAGCTGTTCTTCTCATAAGAAGATCCCTCATCTTCAACTAAAATCTCAGATCTCTTGATGAGAATCACAGATTCTAGGGGTTGTTTTGTTACTTGTTCCTCAAGTCTATTCACGCGCTCTTGAAGGTGTTTCAGATAGTCAATAGCATCTCCAAGTATAGAGGTTTTATCCATCTGCAATACCAATAACAAAGAGTTAAGCAATACTTGGAAACCATGCCACGATTGACAACTCGTTCAAAAATTATAAGTAATTTGCCGAAGTTATTTGATGCACTAACTAAAATTTATCATTTTTCAAAGTAAATCCCAATTGTTCTTTTCATGAAATAACTTTCACAGCCAAGCATGCTCAATGGTCTAGGCAAGAGCCTTACCCCTTCACACGGCAAAAAAGGAGGGGCAAGAAAGTGAAGTCCATTCATTCAAAGGACCTAAAGAAACTAGTACCTACCTAGATACCACAAAAATGAGAGATATACATCAAATCACCAACCGTCACACGTATGCCACATAGGCAGACTACAATAGTGAACGAATGCAAATAGCATCTATAAGGGACTATTTAGATGAAAAGAAAAAAGAAGTTAATGAAAAACTAAGTACCTTCTTGAGGCCAGGAACTATTGTTGAAAGAGCAACAAATAGCCGGCTAAGCTGCTCACGCCGCTTTCTTTCTGCAATTATGTGATCATACGTCTGAGATGGCGGCCTAATACGACTAGTTTTCTTAGTTGTTCGTGCGGTTTTTCTAGCCGCTAGAGGATTTCTAAAAGTTTCAGAAACTGCTGTCTTTTCTTCTTGATTCAAGGACCTTAGATTCACTTGCTGAGGACTTTGAGTTGAATTCACATTGCTAAAATCGAGAATAACTGGAGTGGAAGAAGTGGGGTGCTGAAAAGTAGGCATGCAAAAGTTGTAATTGTTAGGCTTTTTCTGTTTAGATGGTTGTTCAATGGCCATTTGACTAGGTTCGGTGTACGAGGAAGGGTACAAGTCACTGGTTGAGCTGCTGCTGCTTCTGGAAATAACAGATGAAGAAAAGGGATTACTTTCTGGGAACAAAATGTCGGGAGTCTCTTCTCCAAGAAGAGCAACCAAATCTTCATCAAACACGTCCATGAACTCGTATTGATCCTTGAAAATTGAATTTCCCACTCCCTGTAAAATTGATCACACGCAGCTATAACGTAGCACAAAAAGTAGTATTGAAATGATTTCTCTTTTTGATGCTAACTCATATTCTGGATTTTAACCACATATTAATTAATTTTGTCAGTCGGTGACTCAATCCTGGGTGTTCTTTTATTTGTCACAATGCATTAAATATCTTTTTGCTTAAATCTCCCCCTTTCATATTGAATGCTAGCAAAGTTGACACAATATCGAGTGTATTTCGCGTTTCTCCGTCCGACGTCCTTTCTTATTAAAATAGCATAAGCTTTCTGCATGCGGTGGGGAAGGAAGAAGGGTACATATAATTAATGATAAGAAACAATTTAGCTTCGAGTAATGCGCTAGTAATAATTATCAATTTATTTAGTCGTCAATCACTGTTATATAATTGAATGAATTGTGATGAATTCTTTCATTTCCATTTCATTATCCAGAAACCATAAAACAGCATGGAATTCCAAAGAATGGACTAGTTTGAAGTTGCCAATACCATGGTTGAAAAAGAAACGATAAGTTACTGTACCAGTTCGGAGGACCACGACGCCGTTGAGAACTCCATTGAATAAGCAATTTTTATCTCAAATTCTGCACCACCACGTACAAAAGTAAACTCAAAATTAATTAATTCCAACCGAAAAGCTTCGTGCAAGCTCAATGGACTCGCAATAAGAAGCTACAAGACACGAAAATGATATTATATGCATAAAGTTTTCTCTTTGTTTCTTTTTTCTTTGTTTGAAATACTTTGGATGTTGATGAAGAATATCCTGTTGTAATTTCAATTTTTGAAGGGGACGGGAGGGAAAGGATAAACAAAAAAAAAAAAAGATAAAGATTTAACATAATAGCTCACCTTCCTCGAGTCCACAATATTCTTACAAGCTTTGTCTCTATATATAGGGATATCATAAGAATTGTCCTGAAAAGCCTTTTCCCAGTCTTTATCATTCCTCCATGGTAATTTGAGGATGCTTTGTAATCTCAACTAGAATTTACATTTTGGGTAAATAGATGCATCTCTTTATCATTCCTCCACGGTAGTTTTATGTTCAAAAGTTCGTCAAAATGGCAGAAAACAACTTATTTTTCCATCATAATTTTAAAAAAGAAATAAATAAAAAAGTGCAAAAAGATATTTTGCCTCAAATTATTAAAACAAATTGTTTTTTTTATATATAAATCACTATCAAAGACAAGACATACAAATTAATGGAAAGTTGAACATAAAAATTCGACGAAAAAGTCAAGGAAATAATTGTTACAATGAGCAAAATTTTATAAGTTTAACTGCAATTAAAATGTAGTGTATTACGTAAAAATTGTGTTGTCAATATAACAATCATTGTGCGTGTATTTGGGGATGGGATATGTGAGAATCTAAGAGCCCATTTGACAGGCTCTATTTATTCTTTCTACTTCTTGTAAAAGAGGCTTAGGCTCTGTTTGATTCGCGTAATTTTCCATGGAAGTAGGAAAATATTTTCCTACTTTCACTTTTTGACTGTTTGATATGCGAAATTTTCCATGGAAAATGTTTTCCTCCCTTTTTCTAGGTACAACCCTTTGATGCACAAATGGTGGAAAATGTTTTTTCACCTATTAAGTGAAAAAATATTTTCCAGCTTTTTTTTTTTTTGTTTTTGCAATGGGAACAAATTCTAGATACAACGGTAAAAAAAATTTTCACTTTTATTGACAACTTCCATGCAAAACAAAGTCAAACGAAGAATATTCGGTATGGTAAATTTTTTTTTTTCAAATTTTTTTTTTTTT